CCAGGGCGGATCCGTATGCCAGAGGCGATCCACTTGGGCACACCCAGATGTGGGGAGGATCGATGGGGGCCCCGCTGGCCCAGCCCGTCCCGACGCAGGGAGCCAGCCTGTCAGAGATCGCCCTCCTGGATCCCGCGCTCTTAGTGGCGACGCAGCCTTGCGTGCCGACTCAGACGGAACAGATCAAGGGCCCCGACAATTTGCACGAGTTTTGAACTTTTCTGAGGAGGATGCCAAGAGCTACGACCTCGGCGGAGCCAACATGAACTACACGAAGACAGGACACCATGAGCAAGCACTACCAGGGTCAGTGATTGAGCAGCCGCGCTTGCTTGTTCCGCCTGTGCCGTCCCACTCTTTCTTTCAGTTCGATAGCTTGAACCTCCGCGGGACTTCGGAGGTTGTCGCCCGGCGTGCGGCCCAGGCTGGCTGCGCCCTAATATTTAGTGCGTTGCAGCTTGCGCTAGCTCGGGCAGTGTTTTTCCTGCGCGGCCTCCCCCGCGAAGCTGGGGGGGAAGGGGGGGGGGGTCCAGGGGGCCAGGAGGCCCCCCCTCAAGCAGGCCTGCCCGTATAATTCAGTGGGGTATTTCAGTAGTTAGATATTGCGAGCCACGCAGTGGGCTCTATGATCATGAAGTAGATAACGAACTTTGCTCCCCTCCTCCTCGAGCGTCCGCTGGTGCGTGTGTGTGTGTCTTCGGGAAGACCCCCCCTTCCCCTCGGGCGCGAAATCCTCCGACCCCGTTTGGGCCCCCCCCCGCTAGCCCGTCGGTGAGCGCTCATGTCAGGAAAAGCCATGCCCATCGTCGGTCGCATCAACGTGATGGCATCTACGATAATATGAGCGAGCCTGTTGACTGTCATGAGTGTGTGTGTGTGTGTGTGTGTGTGCGTGTGCGTGTGCGTGTGTGCGTGTGTGTGTGTGTGTGTGTGTGTGTGTGTGTGTGTGTGTGTGTGTGTGTGTGTGTGTGTGTGTGCGTGCGTGTGCGTGTGCGTGTGCGTGTGCGTGTGTGTGTGTGTGCGTGCGCGCGCGTTTTTTTTTTTTTGTTTTTTTTTTTTGGGGGGGGGGGCGGGGCGGGATGCAGTCGGGAAGAAGCTTGTCGGGGGGGGGATGATAGAAGGGAGTGCGCTCGAGAGCGCGATGTCCAGGCTCCAGACGCTGGACTCCCAGCGGAGAGCTTCTGTGATTTTGATGCCATTCCGCCCGTCCTCTGTGTGCTCCCCACCGTTCCCGCCCCGTTTCTTGGGGTAGTTCCTGAGCAAGAACTTCGGGGCTCGGGCCTGTTGGAGGATGTTCCAATAATTGCACTGACCTTGGCCCCACCTAGGGTCATCGTTCCCAATAAGTTCATAATATACACTGACGGGTCCCATTTCATGAGGGGGGGGGCCGAAGCTGCCTGGGCCTTTGCGGTGGTGACTGAGAACCCCCAGGATTTTTCAGTCAGGGGCGCTTGGCGCGGCGCCTTGGAATATGCCAGCGCCATGGGGATCACCCGTCGGAGGCTACTGGCACGACCCTTGAACTCTTAGCCACCATGTGGACCAGTCTGTGGTTCTCACTGCCCCGTTTGACGATTTGGAATATGCCATTGTCAGTGACTCGCTCTGTGCGATCAACGCTGCGGAGGGAACCCCGATCCCGCAGAGTGACACTACTTCAGCCCGCCTGGCTAGGGTCTTTTGGCAGCTTGTGGGCATGCGGCGACGGCGTGCTATCGCGCGCGAGAAGTCCCACGCTGGCTTCCACCCGAATGTGCTCGAGGATAATTTGGCCAAAGCCACTGCCCGCGACCTCTTGCCCCCCCACCTAACTTGCGTCCTCGATGGGTGGGGGCTGTTAGGTGCGGCCCTGATTGGGCCTGGGAGTGGTCGGGCCTGGCCCAGAGCGAAGGTGGGCTGCGAGGTGATGCTTATCTTAGGTTGTCTCCGGGAGGCGGTCTTGGGTCTCCCAGGGGCCGCCTTCCTGAGCGTTGGGGCGCCGTGGCCTCTGGCCCTCCTGAATTTGAGAAGATGTGGGCCAGGCCGCCGTGCTCCGCCCAGCTAAGCCCGTGCGGGCCCAACTCGCCGCCGCGACCTTCCATGCCCAATCTCTTCGAACGGATGCGAGGAGGGGCGCTCGAGGAAGGAGCCGCGTTGCGCGCCGACATCTTTGCTGCGCCCAGCTCGCGGGAGAGCGCGTCTACGTTGCTGGCATTCAGGAGGGCCGCAACGGGCAAGGGAGTAGACGCCAAGGCGATTCTGTTGTGTTTGCGGCAGGGCACTTTCAGGTCAACTTGGGGGTAGAATTCTGGGTCAACATCGTTCTCCCTGATGCTCGTCGTGGTAGCGCCCCCCTGGCTCGCTCGGCATCGTGTCCAGCTGCTCCATCTCTCTTTTCACATCCTGGTTGCTAGGTTGCCCGGCCCCGCTTTGGCTCTTACCCTGTCTGTGTGTCGTGCCCCTCATATGGGTGCTGGCGCCATGGCTCGGGGTCAGCTTTGGAGTGATTTAGGGGCCTTGCTACAGCGGTGGCCAGTGGATCTATGCTGTATGGATGGGAGCGGATGGGCGGATGCGATCCCTAGCCCTGCGGTTTCAACTGCTGGGCCCAGGTCGGATGAAGACGCCAGCGCAAGGCGTTACACGCCCTCCTCCTCGCCCATCAGCTTGCTGCCGCCAGCGCCTTTTGCTGCAGGGGGGATGGGCGCGCGTTTACTTCCAAAGAAAGCGCGCGCCATCGCATCGATTACATCGTCACCCAGCAGTGTCGCCTCCAAACCCTCTGCGATACCCACGTACTTCACAATTGGGAGAGTACGCGATAAGCGGAGGACCATTTTCCGTGAATTGCCGCGTTTGGTGGCTGGATCAGGACTTTTCAGGAGGAGGGAGCTCACGACCCAAGAGTGGACACTAACAAGTTTTCGGGCCCTGTTGCGCGCTCTATGTTTGCTTCGGCCCTCCGCCAGGCCGACCTCCAGCCCTGGGGCCAAAATTTGAACGACCATTGTGCTCTAGTTGCGAGCACTATTCGTCAGGCCACCGTTCCTGCTTTCGGCAAAAACTCGGTTACTCGGTTCCCCAGAAAACCATGCATGTCCCCGCCCACCTTCGTCCTCGTCCGCGCCCGCCGCGCGATCAGGGGGGCGCTTCGATGCAGCCGGCAGCTTGCGCTAGCTGGCGGCGCCTTGTTACCTTCGGACCTTGGCGAGGACGCCTCCCGAGAAACCGACGACCGGCGGGGGGTCATTGGGCCACTTTTTTGCCTGGCGGTAAGTTTGAGGAATGGTGACTTATGTCGCGAGATGCAGCATGCGGCGCAATCACAACCACATCTTCTGCAGCATCAACCTCTGCAGTCTGTCTGGCCGAGCCTACAGGAGCAATGTCACCAATCGATATTGATGAGTTTCGTCTGTCTCTCGTTTCCTTTATTGCGCCCACCGCCCCCCATCTTCAAAGTGCACTTGTGACTACTCCGCGTTCCTCATGTCTCACGGGCATGAGGCCCGACGCGCTATCGACGGCCACGCTCCGCGTCAAGAGTGGAATCACATCCGTGCGCTCGTTTGCCTCGGAGGCAAGCGTCACAAGGGCCCTGTGGTGGCCCCCCTTAGGAAGGTTCCCGATGGGGAGGTGATTGGGGCCCCCTTGGAGGGTGCTCGCGGCATGCAGAAACACTGCGCGAAGATTGAACGAAGGTAAGGATGTCGCGCACGAGCAAGCTCAATATCGGCATGGCAAGTCTCCATCATCCAGTATCACGTGGGAGGGCAAGTGAGACTTAGACAACCTTGTGACTATTCATGAGCTGGGGCGTCTGATTTCCAACGCCCCCAGCAGGAAGGCCCCAGGGCCTGATCATTAGTAATGACGTGTTGAAGGTGGCCCCGAGAGAGGCGGCCCGTTTGCTGCGCCCCCTCATGTTGAAGGTGCGTGCTTGGAGAAGAACCTCATATGCTTCGCCTTGGTCAAGTTGTTTCTTTCTATGAGGGCAGAGGGGGCATCGCTCTTGCTGCCTCTATGCGCAGTATCCTCCTCTCCAACGCCATCCTTAAGGTGCATCGTAAATTTATTCGCAGCCGCGCTAAGAATATTCGCTTTGGCCTACTTAGGGATGAGCAGAGTGGGGGTAGGCCTGGGGTAGGGGCTGATTTTGCCTGCCTTGCCGTGCGTATGCGACTGCACTTGCTCGCCCTTCGTAGTCGCTCTGCTGTCCTCGTCTTCCTCGACCTTGTTGCTGCTTTCTATGGCGTTGTCAGACAGGTTGTTATGAGCCTTCCCTCTGGCCAGGACCAGATTTCCCAGGCGATTGATGAGTTGCCCATCCCTCCAGCATTCCGTTTGACGGTTCTCCGTCTTGCCGAGCGTCCGATCCTGGATGGTGCCATGAGTGATCGTCACCTCATGGAGCTGTTGCGCGGCGCTCAGGTGGGATCGTGGTCGTGGTGGCAATGCCGGGGTGCTGACTCGTGCGTTGCTCCTAACTTCGGCGCTAAGCAACCTTGGACGGTTTTTGCTTGTGATGTTTTTAATATAGCCTTCGCGCCTAGTGTTGGTGGCATTCAGGACGACATGTGGCAGGCCGGCCTCATGTCCTCGATCCCACCTTCGGAAGGGCCCTTTGCGGGCACCCAGAGTGACAGTGGGCAGCATGACGCGTCTTCTGCTAACGTTGATGACCTCACTTCCATTGGAGATTGTGGTGATGCGTTTCAGGTCCCCAATATAGCGTCGAAGATGTTAGATCTTGTGTACCATCATGTTACTTCCCAAGGTCATCAGTTGAACGCCACCAAGACCGCTATCATGTATTGCCCTGTCGGGAAGAATGCTAAACAAATGCAACACACCTTTGCGCTTGACGACGGCAGCGATCTAGTAGTGTCAGAGCTCCATGGCGTTTGCGTCAAGGTTGCTCACCTCTTCAAGCTGCTGGGCTCTTCCCCCTGCGACAAGACGTCTCAGAATCGTGAAATCGCGTATAGGGGAGTTGGGTGCGCGCGGAGATCAAGCCC